CTCAGCTCCAACTTCCTTCACTTTACATCTCGTACCATCACTCTGTACAATTCTCCCTCTTCTTCTTTCCCCATCAGTATTCAACTTTTCAGCCTACTTCCCAGAGCATGCTGAAAGGGCGATGTTTTATTCTAGTCATTAAAGCCAGAAGAAAGGACTAATTATAAACTACAAGAAGACAGAATGCATGGTTATCAGCAAAAAGATGAGCTCATAATGCAAATTACAGGTTGGGGACACTAAAATCAATCAAGAAGGTACAGAAATGTAAATATCTGGGAAATGTTCAAAGAGAGGACGGAAAATGCGACGCTGAGATCCGAAGATGTATTGGGATGGCCAAACACGCATTTCGAAAGCTAAGCAGCGTATTACAATACAGGAAAGTTTCGTTAGAAACGAAGAAAACGGCACTGGACTGCACGTGATATCTATCCTCCTGCATGGCAGCGAATACTGGACAACCTTCTCAAAGATGAAGGCAAGACTCGAAGCAACAGAAGTGTGGTTCTACAGAAGGATGCTAAGGATACCATGGGCCGAACGTCTGAGCAACGACGAGTTTTTAGAGAGAATGGAAACAAAGATGAAACTTATTCTTAACAGCAGGAAGAGGCATCTGAAATTTCTGGAACACGTAATGAGGAATGACGGCTTGGAAAATATGATACTCATAGGACAAATAGAGGGAAAGAGGGACAAAGGAAAGCAACACGTGATATGCTTAATGAGCTTCAGCAAATGGATGACGGCACAAGGTCTGGAAGAAATAAAAAAAGACAAAACGTATTAAGAGCTACAAAAGACAGGAGGAGGTGGAGGGCCAGGATCGCCTACGTCCTGAAGGGAGACGGCACATAAATGAAGAAAAACATATGCTTTTCAAATTTTCTTGGAATCATCTTTGCCCAGGCGAAAATATAAACCATCTTATCCTATTGCTTGCCGATGACAGGACTTGTTTTCATAACTCCTTAATGGTACATCCGACCTGTAAAAAAAGTCAGTTCTCATTTAAACTTCCGAATGCGAGATTATTTCTAAAAAATGCAATCCAGACATACCCGTCTCCTCGTTACCGATCATTTTTTTTAAATTCTCAAGGAAGAAATAAAATTATTTTACAATTCGTTTCACCCGCATGCCAATTTCTCGATAGCGAGTGAAGCCAACTCGCCCCTTCTTCACTTCATGTCACCAGGGAAAATGTTTTCTAACCTCTCTCACACGCTATATATATATATATATATATATAATAGACTCTCCCGTCGGATTCGACGTATGAGGATCTGCCAGCTTATTGATTCAGTTATGAAAGCTTATGCGATAATCATAAGTGGCATTTAAGACCCGCTAGTGATTTACAAAAGAGCCCACAGATGGAGCAGGTGTGAAAATTGTGAGATGAGATCACTGTTAGGTTGGCTGACCTTTTAGATCTTGCTCTCGCTTCTTGAAGATGATTCAGACAAGCAGATTGAAAATTACTGAGTCCACTAAAACACGTTGATCTCCATTCTAAGCGCTCAATGGTGCTCTGTGGTATATTAACTGCTGACAAGTTGCTTTTCAGCTTGTCTTTGTATCTTAGCCATGGGCGTCCTACATTCCTGTAGCACTGATCTAACTGGATATACATTAGGATCGTGGGTATCCTGTCATCAGACATTCTCAACAGATGACCAGTCCACCGTAACTGAGACTGTATGATAAAAGTCTCGATTCCTCCAATATTACACCTGTTAAACAGGTCTACGTTAGGTGTCCTATCTTGAAGCTTAACTCCATAGATTGCACGCAGACAGCTTTTATGGAAAAAATCTAGCTGGCGTATATGGTACCTGTATGGAATCCATGACTCTAAGCCATACAAAAGGATGGCAAGTACAACAGCTCTGTAAACCCGAATTTTCGTATCCAGTCGAATATCCCGCTCATTCCACAAGCGATGGCGAAGTTTGCCGAAAGCACTGGTAGCCTTAGCAATCCGATGCATGATTTCATCATCTAATGTTCCACTTTTAGATGATGAAATTAGAATATATATATATATATATATATATATATATATATATATATATATATATATATATATTCCTGTTTATAGTCTCAGTGTCACAATTGTGAGCTTAAGCCCTAAGCCAGTCAGTGTGTTCTTGGACTTGAAACGGTTAAGCGAAAGTGAATACTAATAAATAAAAACTAGACGAGATATTCCGTAAACACTTACAGCGAAAACAATCAACCCACACAGATTAAATATTAAAGGTTTCAGTTTTAAATTTCTTTTTCGACAAGCACCTGATGAAGGCCGAAATGTAATGATTAAAATAACAAAAATGAAGACGCGTGTAAATAATGTAAATAGTGACAACTCTTAACAGAGACATATTTTTCTTTTCTTTCAACTAGAATGAAGTCATATTCAGTTGCCTGGACAACGTCCAGGAGACCGAAGTTCTTAAAGATATCGATTTTAACCTCTTCTTATAAGATAACAATGGACCATGATATCACCTCCCATCTATTAAAGGTAATGTTCAATGTTTCGTCTCCTGACATATATACAGCTAGGATATGCACCTAGGCCACAAGTAAAAGGCTTCCTTTTATTTTTTATATCTTTTCTATTCAAGTTTTCATTGAACTGAGATTGTCTCTCTCGCACTAACGCGAAGTTAGGCGATTCTGTTTACTCGCTGTAATCAGTAATCAATAAATTGCCTAAAAGTTACTAACGAAAGAAACGTAAGCAAAATAGGGTTGTAGAGATAACAACTTCATTTTCGTGTCGGATGCCACCTGCCCAATATTGCAAATGCGTTGCGAAATTGCATAGAATATTCATGTGTTTTTTTTTTCACTGCATCGTTCAAGAGGTGATTTGATTTTAATCAACGGAAGCAAACTCATTGTAGTTACTTCAAAACAAGCTGCGGTGACTTGTTTTTTGGGTTTTTTTTAATCACTTTGCCCAAATGAAGGCAATAAAGTCGCTAAGATGCAAAATGTTTGTGGAGTGTGAAAATATATGAAAAAATAAAAACATTATTAACCCTCAGAGTCTGTCTATATTTCTGAGATGAGGTATTATGTACAGTATTTACAAGTATTACAAGGACACATGGCACAGTGGATAAAGGCGTTGGTTAGATCCAGTGACAGACCCAAAGAAGGTGAGTTCAATACCTGGTTAAGGCAGTGGAGAACTTTCAGAGTGAAAATTAGCAGGAGATAACTGATAACTGATATCCATCAAACATGGCACGTGGAACTAGAACAGTCTACCCCAGTGATCGAAATAAAGGGTTCAGTTCGAAATTCCAACTACCTGAAGAAGGCTGGGGCGTACAACGGCCGAAACGTTGTGACAAATATGGCGACAAAGATGAGGACAATAGTCCGACTAATGTAAATACTTTACATTATTAACCCTACATTAATCAGCTCGAATTTCCGAAAATGGACAGTCCCCTGGCTCTTGCAACCAACGAAAACTGAGCTACAACTGCGCTAGACCACATCGAGTCAGGAGATTAATAGGAGGGAGCCAACTAGGAATTCCGAGTACCCACGTCACTAACGCTGGGTTAAGAAGAAAGAACAATAAAATGATTGATAGAATGTTTTTTACAGGTTATCAACCTTTTGCAGGTTATTTAAAGCCAGAGTATATATTTTGTGCTTGAGAATCATTTTTAAGATAATAATATTACTGATACAAGTCTTACTAATTAACGCCTTGCTGGTGGGAGAAAAAACGAGTTCATGCCTTTCCCAAGGGTATTCGCGCTTAAATGAATATAACAAACCCGACTGGAATTGGAACTCGATTCTCTGATTTCAAATTCCGAGCCATTATCCATTACACTAGTTGAACATCCGCGGTTATAGCAATTTGTATTCCTAACCGGTCACCCATCTAGTTAGTAACAAGACTCGACGTTGAGTAACTTCGTTTAGAACGGGTATTTCAAAGAATAAGGCCTTAAAAAGGCAGAAGATAACGATTGACATTGCATTTAAATTTTTGACGATCACAGTTGACTGGGATACAATATATCGGAAAGGAATTCTACAATCGAGACGTGCCGGTATTATTTACACGCGAACTAATTTTTTTTTGTCTGTATCCCTGAGATGAGGTATTATTATTATTTACATTATTTACATTATTTACATTATTTACATTATTTACGTCGTTCCTATTGTTATCTTCATCTTCATTGCCATATTCACAACGTTTCGGCCTTGTACACTCTTGCCTTCTTCAGGTGATTGGAATTTCGAACCGAACACTTTATTTCGTCCACCCGGGAGATTGTTCTACCTCCACGTGCCATGCCTCTTCCGGATGTCTCTGTTATTTCTCTTTTATCTCAACTCTCCAAGTACTGGTTCACCACTGCTGTGGCCTGGTATTGAACTCACAACTCTTTGGGTCTAGTCACTGTGTCATGTGCCCTTGAGGACATCTGCGTATGAATTTCTGGGACTTATAAACCAAATGTCTTTGATTAGCGGCATATCGCATCCTTATGGGTCATTTAATGCCGAAATTTATTTTTCTTGGGGCATTAGTAATTTATTTTACAAAAATGTATTGCTAGTATTTCATTTTCTTCCAAAATTTATTGCTGGCAATTTTTCTTTTACAGACATTTATTGCTGGTACTATTTTGTTTCATTTATTGCTGGTAATATTTTTTACCTACAAAAGTGTTTTCGATATATACATTTTTTTGCATTTCTACTAGAAAAATGCATTTTTATACTTTCATAGTGTTTTGACTTCAGTTTATGGTTAACTATTTTCCCATAGCCAAGACCCTACCAGGTGCTGCCACCCCGAGTCTGGCTTGACCTGGGAACAACCCTAATTAAAGTTCCTTTCTACCATACGTAGTTTATCGTAATACCCATCAGAGAACTAAAAAGGGAAGATTGGGTAGCTCCAGACCAGATATAGCAACAGTAATGAATTTTTGGTTATAAAAACAGAGCAGTGTAGGTGGAACTGGGGGTGTTCTGAGAACGGTATAAGTGATCGTATATACTCAAAGTAACTTTAGTGTTGGCTCGTATGTATGCTTTCCTCTTTTGTAAATTTAGGTACTAGCCATTTTCACCAAATATCCAAATATTATCACAGTCTGACAATGTTTACCAAAATGGCACAAAAAGAAAGAAATAATTAATATTAATTATTATATGAAACATTTTATTGCGACCATATCTGTTTTATGTTCCTCTATCTCATTCAATATAATAAATGCGGATATCAGTGTGTCAGTGTGTCGCATTTTTCAACTTTACTCCTAGAGGCCGTAACCGAATATATCATGCCATCTTGGAAAAAGGCCGATTCTGTGAGAAAATCATAAACTTTCCGGTCCGGATCCAAAGACGCAATCCTTAATTTTTGGATTCCAAAGTTTACATTACTGCGATTGTTTTTATTGATTTATTTTTTTTTTTTCGAGGAATTTTTTGTACGATAACTTAGAAATAAATTTCGGAATAATCGAAATTAATTGCGAAAACCAGCGAAGGTCAACCACGAAATAAAAATAATTGTCTCTACGGAAAGTAAGGACTTATCAGATTCTCTTTAAATTAAATGCAGCGATCAATACGGCAGCTTTTAAGCTATATATATATATATATATATATATATATATATATATATATATATATATATATATATATGTTATAAATTAACTGATTTCAAATATAATTTATATGCTATGTAAATTTACATTGAGCACTGTTTTGTTGTAAAAATAAAAAATATATATCAATAAGAACACCGGATTACATATCTTGCTGTTACTTTTTTTATAACATATATATATATATATATATATATATATATATATATATATATATATATATATATATATATATATATATATATGTGTGTGTGTGTGTGTGTGTGTGTGTGAGCGTGTGTGTGTGTGTTATAAAAAATATTATAAAGAAATACACTACACCAACTGACCTGATTAAAAAAAAAACAAATTAATTATCTACTACAAAAAATTTAAAACAGCTAAACTAATCCTCAAAAATAACACCACATCAGCAAAATCGAAATTACAACGAACAAACATTATCTACGAGTTCAAATGGCCTTTAAGGAACAGTGTTCCTGATCAAACCGAATTCATAAACATTTACACCGGTCATACCACTACATGTCTATCAGGCGCCTTACGTTACACCTGTCTGACCACAGTTCTATTAGAACCTATTTAAAAAACACAAAAAATTACCAGACTCCATCCGCAGCATATTAGTAGAAAATAAAAACATAATAGCATCATCCACCTGCAAAAGGATTAAAAAGCCTCGTCTGTGGAGTTTGACCATCACAGGTAGAGACGAATCTCCAACTGCAGGATATGTACCAACCGCCCCAGATTCCTCGTAGACCCCGTATAAAACGGGATTTGGTAGCTGTTTCACGAGACGTGACTCTGCCTTTCGACTTAGCCTCGTCTGGGGATCCTCTCTGCTGGAGACGAATGTCTAACTACAGACCAACATACAGTATTTACTACTGTATTTATATGAATGGGGACATAACAATTATCACCCGTAGGTATTCTATAACACTATGCATTCCTATTACAGAACCTATCTACTCCTGCTGTTGCTGATAACCACACATTATGTTTTCTTGCAATTCATGATTAGTCCTTTTTTCTCGCCTTCCTTTGCTGCCCTATGTAGTAGTGGCCGTTGTTTCCTGTCGGTGTATGCTATTCTTGACCGGAATCTGAACACAGTCTTCTGATTTCGAACTCTTGGACGATACCCGTTATCCTTCCGGAATATTTATCTATTTTTATGGCTTGTGAAATCTTTGAAATATATCGCCAAAGCAGAAAAAAAGATATTTATTGTAAACGGCTCCAGAATTATAAATCTGTTTAGTAAGAGAATATTAAGAATGAATAAGAAAAGAAAAGAATTGTAATGCAACCCACAAATGCATAAATGATCGAAAATAAAATAATATTATAGAAGAAAGATAATTTGCATGAAAACCAATAGCCAATGAAATCGAACAAATAAAGAAATAAATTCATACAGTAAGCTGATTGGTTTATTTAAAAGACTGTATAGGTGAACCGTTGATTGGATTTCACTTACGTTGCCTATGCTTCGAAAGCTTTTTGTCTGCCTGGCCATTCTTAGCTAATATTTACCTGATTGGCACAAAAAGAAATATAGAAGTTGAGGAAATTAGAAAACTGAATAGCGAATGAGACAAAATTGTAACAGAAAAGAAAAACGTTGTTTCTCAATGCGTAATATTGCCTTTCATCTGATATCACTGTGAACAGACATTTTAATATTCATAAGGAAGGGAAATCATCATGTTATATAAATAGATATTTATATTTATGCACTAGCTCTGTGTAAATGTTCCCAGCGATACCGACTTTGAAAAGAAGAGACTGCGTACATAAAACTTGTTTTACTTGTTTAGTCATAAAACTTGTTTTAATATTAAAAAAAAAAGACTTAATTGTTGGAACGATTTGCAGACGCAACCTGAGCTTAAAAAATAACCGATCTATATATTTCAGTTATTATCTATCTACCCCATGCAGTTCATATCTATCTATCTATCTATCTATCTATCTATCTATCTATCTATCTATCTCATCCTCTTGTTATCTATCTATGTTCACATATATATATTTATATATTCTTTATCTCATTCTATCTATGTTCACATATATCTATTTATATACTCTATCTCAGTCTATCTATCTATCTATTTCAGTCTATATATCTCGTTATATTCATATCTATCTATCTATCTATCTATCTATCTATCTATCTATCTATCTATCTATCTATCTATCTATGTTCACATATATCTATTTATATACTCTTTATCTTATTCTATCTATCTATGTTCACATATATCTATTTATATACTCTATCTCAGTCTATCTATCTATCTATTTCAGTCTATATATCTCATTATATACATATCTATCTATCTATCTATCTATCTATCTATCTATCTATCTATCTATGTTCACATATATCTATTTATATACTCTTTATCTCATTCTATCTATCTATATTCACATATATCTATTTATATACTATATCTCAGTCTGTCTATCTATCTATCTATCTATCTATCTATCTATCTATCTATCTATCTATCTATTTCAGTGTATATATCTCATTATATTCATATCTATCTATCTATGTTCACATATATCTATTTATATACTCTTTATCTCATTCTATGTTCACATATATCTATTTATATACTCTAGCTCAGTCTATCTATGCATCTATATATCTATTTCAGTCAATATATCTCATTATATTCATATCTATCTATCTATCTATCTATCTATCTATCTATCTATCTTTCTTTCTTTCTTACTAGCTAGCTAGATAGCAAACTACATCACAATATATATATACACGTATAATTCAGCTCATATCTATTACATTAAGCTAATATCTATCTATCTATCTATCTATCTATCTATCTATCTATCTATCTATCTATCTATCTATCTCATTCAGTCTAAATCCATATATTTATCCCATTCATTTCATCTGTATATATATATATATATATATATATATATATATATATATATATGTCTATATATATATTTATGATATATATATATATATATATATATATATATATATATATATATATATATATATATATATATATATATAAAATAAAATAAAATAAAATAAATTTTAACATACGGGCAAAAACAATAACTCATGATAAAGATGCATTTTTGTTTCGATGCTTGGTCATCTTGACTGGTTAAAACCAATGTGGACTTTATCAAAGCAAAATACGAAAATGAAATTAAATGAACAAAGTAACTAATAAAAACAAAAACAGAATGTACCTAGCAAATGGAATGTAGAGAAACGCTATTTTCATATTTTTAACTTAAAAATAACGTCAGTATTTGTCACGTGTGGAGAATATTATATTGCCATTATATCTGTGTTGATGTATTCAACCATTTTCTTTTGATTTTATGAAATGCGGTCAGATGTGACACAAAGCCGAATGCGGTCAGATGTGACACAAAGCCGAATTTAATGTGGGGTATCCGAGCCCCTAGGCTCGGCCAAAAATTACCCGTAGACACCGTATAAAACGGCGCCGGGTAACTTTGTTCCGAGACCGTAATCTGCCTTCGACATAGACTCGTCTGCGGATCCTCTCTGCCCAGAGGCAGAGAGTTTGACCAGCACAGCTGGAGACGAATCTCCAACTGCAAGATATTTATCAACTACGCTACGCGGTCAGATGTGGCACAAGGTCGAATTTAATGTGGAGTATCCGAGCCCGTAGGCTCGACTAAAAGTTCCCCGTAGACCACGTATAAATCCGCTTTTGTATTCCTTTAGTAGTGAGGAAGTTACATTCGGATAGTTTCTTCCGAAGAACAGCGGTTTTAATGAACAGAATCCCAGGAGGATTCTTTCCAGATCACTCCAGTTTTAACCTCTTCAAATGTAGTGTTAACTGTGCCCCTTCCTTTTACCACACACACAATAAACGCCTTAAGTAACCCTCTAGTTGACTGGTACTTGGAGGACAATTAGAAAAAAAAAAAAAAAGAAATCCTGGTGTTACTTTCACTTTCACTTTCATTTTCATGTTTCTATTTTTTTTTTTTTTTGTTCTTGTTATTAAAACGTTATCTATTGTTCTTATATTCCTTTCCTAGAATACACTGTCTTGGAAAAATATATCTGCGCTTATAATAATTTCATTGTTGCAAAAGGTAGTCCTTTGGTGTTTACTTGTATTAGTTAATTAGCTGAGAACTGACAAACCACTTGGACAGCTGTTAAAGTTTCGGTAAATAGACATGTACCTAAAATATTCTAAACTCATATGTACTAATTGAGGTATAAGCTTTCTTGCAGAATTCTTCATCAGCATCAGCAAACACGTGACCGGTTGTGCTCGTCGGATCGCTGTGCAATTGATAAGCACTGACCAATTCCCTGCGCATATCTTGCTAAATATTTCATGCATGTCGTGTCTTGGGTAATGGAAACCTGGTGAAGACTGTCCCTCTTCAATTAAATGACATCCAATGTTCTTTAACTTGAAGCATCGTCTGTGTTGGAGTCAGAATGTGGGGGCGGTGTACTGGATAACGGCTCGGAATAAGAAATCGGAGTGCCGTGATCGAATTCAAGTCAATTTCTTTACATTCACTGACAAGCAAATACCCTCGAGAATGGCATGAATCTATCTATTTTTCCTCCAGCTCTGGGTTAAATAGTATGAATTTTATCAGTAATGTTGATTGTTTACTGAAAAGACTAATAACACAATATTCACTTGCAAAAATATTATTCTTGCAATACAAAAATATGTTCCGGCTTTAAATAACCAAGAAAGGGTTGATAAACTGTAAAAATTTAAATCAATCTGTCTATTAGAGCGATAACTAAATAATTGATTCTATGATGTTGCAAAATTGAAGATTGTTCTTCAGATTTTGTCAAGAATCACTAGCAGAAGCAACAGACCAGAGCTGGCAAAATTTTCAATGCAGGGATTGTATGGTAGAGTTATAAAGCTATAAAATACGTTCTGACACGAAAGCTTGTCAATATTCTATGCACGAACGAATCGATGAAACTGCATGCTAATGATTCAAGAGTGAAAGACAATGGAATTATCTCAGAAGTAATGTCATAATGGAGTGGAAAAAACGTTGATGTTTCTTAAATTTTAGAAGATATTTCTACGTGGTAAGAATTGGGTAACAGATTCCTACCTCACAACAGACACTGAAAGCAAATATACATATGTCGTCCTCCATCGGGGAATCTTTAACTGATGTATGAAATTATTCTTTCTATCAGGTTTTTTTTTCTACAGGTCAGATGAACTGAGTCCAGTGTCCATGTCGTCAAGAATAAAGGAATATTTTTATCCAAGTGATGTCCAAATGACGGCTTGTTCATTAGGTCAAGTTGATTTTTGACTACTTTTAGAATATTAACATTGCACTCAGTGTAAAAACTGGAGTTTAACATGTGAAGTACTGATAAGAAAAAATGGAATGGATAGCCCTCATCCATTTTTTAACATTTATTTTTAAATATCGTCTAAAAAAATGTACAGAAATACTTAATTACCGTTTAGTTTTGCTGATAAACAGGTTCAAAAAATAAATGCAAGTAAAGCTTATATATATATATATATATATATATATATATATATATATATATATATATATATTATTGCATGTTTCATTAAAGTTGTGTCTATTTATTTTAAGAAAATTCCTTTAATAATGTCGAATAAACTTTTTTAGCATTATCACTGAAACACGAAAGAAAATCATCATCTTGCTATATGTTTTTATTGTTAATCCTGTCTAAGCTTTGGCTTACATACACATAGACAATGTATATATATATATATATATATATATATATATATATATATATATATATATATATATATATATATATGAACTTTTGGGCTTATACGTTATTTTTAATGGATGTTCATTCTTGAGTAGATACCATGTTTTTATTTATGTAGTAATCATTATATTTATATTAATTATTATTCTTACAATTTGCTCTATTCGTATAATTGAGCTCACATATGGACTAAAATCCACTTTGGAATAATCCCTATCAATTATAATTTGGTATTACGCACAAACACGCAGACACAGACACAGACACACATATATATATATATATAGATACACACACACACACATATATATATAGAGAGAGATAGATAGATAGATAGATAGATAGATAGATAGATGAACAGAATGATATAGATATATAGATGGTATTTATCAATTCACCCACAGGAATTGAATGTGGCACAAGGCCTTTTTAATGTGGGTATGTCCGAGCCCGTAGGCCCAGCCAAAAATAAAACCCATCTAAACCCGACAAAGCGGGCTAGTTCCGTCAACCTCCCCGAACGAAACCCCACCCTTCGGCGGAGAGATAGATAGATAGATAGATAGATATGTATGTATGTATGTATGTATGTATGTATGTATGTATAGAGAACGGAATTTGAGAAATACTGTGCTGTTACTTGTTTATTTTTATCCGGTTCGTCATGTTCGTAAATAATTCATTAAGTTTTTCCCCTCGGTAGACGTTGCCAGTTACAAATCCACGTGTGAGAAGGATAGAAACGAATTAAATATTCATATATCAGTTTTCGAAAACAAACACTTGTCAAAATAAATATTCCCACTTCAAAAAGACCATCTTAGAGTAAGCGTGTCATTTTACTTACATAAATAATCACACGGTTGCTTTCTTTCTCGCGGTTTCTCTGACCAACATACAACAAACGATACTAATTCGTAAAGCCAACTAAACAAAAATGATTTATTCTTATGGCTTTAAAGATAGAACCTGATAACAGGTAGATTTAGAAAACATAGATAGATAGATAGATAGATAGATTT